AGGAATGAAAACGAATGAAAGACTGCTAAAACGATTCAGAGAATCCTTTGCCAAAGTTAAAAAGAAAGCAGAAACCAAAAAATACTCTTGAGAGAGATTAGCTTATTAAAAGCCCTTTGAAGATGCCATTATTTCCTTAACAAAATAGAAATTAAAGATGCCATAAACTTTAAAGTAATTAAGGAAAACATTCAACAGTTTAATACATCAAAAACATCAGCCTGGCAGAGGCACAGAATCCAGCAGACCTTAATTCGCACTACGAAAGTATTGCCCACTTATACTTAAAACCTATGAGCAAAGTATTACCCTTTTCGAAGATTCTTTTCTCACCTTTGAACGATTTTCGGTTCCCTAAAATTGAATTGTCACGTTCAGCATTAAACTAATAATAAAGGGCCAAAAATATTAAAAACAGCAATCATCAAACAGATGAGAAGTACCCGAAGAGATAGAAAAGAAATCTTTTAAACACTGAAACAAAATACGAGAATAATCGGACTTGAGAAGTCTCCGATTGACAAGCGCATATGCAACAAGGCGCAAAATGCACTGAGCCACCAACAGTAACTGCATATCAAAGCTACTGTGAAATGGCAATAACTGAAGAGACTTTGAATGGTTAATTGCTCCACCGAAAATGAGAAAGTTAGCAGAAAGAAAGTGCAAAATATGCATATTTTACGAATTAAGTAGAAGACATACGCCAGAGTTTGATCGCGAACGAGACCGCCGTTTCGACTTCTTTTTCCGTTTCTTCTCAGATTCTGAAAAGTTCATCTCTCTCTATTCCTTCTTGTTACTTAACAATTAAAAAACCATAAAACATAAACTGTAATCTAAAAAATCAGAAACAATGTAGACTTTGAACTAGATTAAAATCAAAATGCTAACCTTTTTCATCATCACTAACATCTGACTTATGATGTTTTTTTTTCTTCTTAGAGCGGCTTTCGCTATCAGAGTCCGAGTCCTTCTAAAACAAAAAATTCAAATTTCTGAGCAAAAGAAATTACGAACAATTAAAAAATTTCAATGCCGTGATACACTATCTAACTAACCAAAATCTTGTATTCCATATATTCAGCAGAAGTCGACAAGGATAAAGTACAACAAAACAATTAATGCAAACTTTTTAGATAGCACAACCAATTTAATTTTATCCTTAGCAACGAAAATGGTTATACGAATACCTCCACAATAAGAAGTTCCCCTCACACAAAGACAAAGCTCCTGAACTTTTAAACTATGAAAAGCAAACACTTACCAGTAACCAAACCAATAAACCAACAGCAGAGACAATAACAAGAAAAAAAATTTAGTAATACAACTGAACAAACTACTAATATACAGAAAGAAGTCTAAATTGGGTGCTAAGAGTAAGCAAAACTCGCGACAAACACAGATAAAAACTACCTCATCTCTGTGATTCCGTTTCTTCTTATCTTTTTTCCTTTTTTTCCCAGTGCCATGGTGATGGCCACAAGCTTCAGCCAGATTTTGTAAATAATCCTATAAGTAATATCAAAGTTTATCTCCAAAGCACCAGGCGAAACAAAAAAAAAAAAAAAAAAAGAACGAACTAACATCAAAAAATTTCTCCCTAAGTTGCTCTGTTTCCACTGCAAGAAAGGCCTCTTCATTCTCAATTTTTGGACGAATCACTGACCACTGTGAATTCGGCTCAACTGGTGGAACCAAATTTCGCAATAAATTTCGAAAAGCGGTCTCGTGACGTCTTCGCTAAAAGAAGACCTTTTGATAAGGCACAAAAATTGGAATACATTGCGAAAAGATAAGCTCAGCACCTTCCGAGCTTCCTCCCTTTCTTGTTCCTTTTCCTTCGCTTCTGCTTTCTCCATAAAAGAATTATAACAAAGTTTCAAATTCCCAGGATCGACAGTTTTTCCTTTTTCATCTGAAGATATCCATTTCTGCAACTGATCGAAAGTCGTCCCGACTTCTACAGTAACATTCAATTCCTGAAAATATAAAACTGAATCAACAAAAAAAAAA